GCCCGAAAGGGAGACGAACCGAATCCCGCGAACCCGCAGAAGCCCCTTTCCCGAGCGCACAGCCCCCTAAGAAAGGACGCTACCCTCCTCCTCCTCCTCCTCCTCCTCCTCCTCCTCCTCCTCCTCCTCCTCCTCCTCTCTCCTCTTTCCTCTCTCCTCTGGAGGCCTCGCCTGCGCGCAGCAGTTGTGTGGCCCAGCCCACGCGGCAGCTCCGTAAGAAGCTATGGGTCGACGGTCGCGCGGCGCCGCTCCGGCGTCACTTCGACGTACGTCCGACGTGATTCCGACGCGATCCGACGCGAGTCCCACGTAAATCCGACGTGTACCCGACGTACATCGGGTCTCAAGTTGCCGCGCCAGTGCTCCAGGATTTTCTTCAGAACCTCTCCGCTCTGTCTGCTTCCCTTCCCCCCCGCCCTCCTCGGAGGGCGCGCGCGCCAACCGAAGACGAGCAGACGGCATGAACACCGACTTTCTGCGCCCCGCGTGGATTTCTTCGATCCGCACAGGACCCCCCCGGGCGGGGGCGGCGCCGGAGGCGCCGCCCCCGGGCGGCGCCTCCGCGCGCCAGGGAGGGGGGTCCGGCGCAGATCCAAGAAATCCGCGCGGACCGTCGAAAGTTGATGGTTATGTATTTTTTTATTGTAGTTGTTTTTTTTTATCCAAAGTTATTGCTTCTGTCGTGTGTTTCTTTTCACCAGCCCTGGCCGCGGGCGAGGTCCTGGAGCCCGGGGTCGGCCTTTTCCCCCTGGGCCTTGTCCCTGCCGACCCCTGAGGCCGAAGCCCCCGATCCGTCTCCTTTCACGCCCCGCGGCTTGGCATCGCTTGGACGTGTGCATCTGCTCTCTCTTTCTTTCTTTTTTATTTCTCTCAGAAGAAGAATAATAATAAGAATAATCATAAACAACAGTAACCTCGAAAACGCCATAAACATAATTTTTCGGCGCTCCGCGCGTATTTCTTGGATCTACACTGAGCCCGCCAAGCGGCGCCTCCGGCGCCGCCCCTGGCGCGCTCCGCGCGCCAGGGAGGGATGTGCAGGGCAGATGCAAGAATTCCGCGCGGAGCGCCGACAGTGTATGTTTATGCCGTTTTTTGTTCCTCTAGGACCGTCTTCGATCAGGCCCTTCCCGCGCCCTGCGGCTTGGCATCGCTCGGACGTGTGCGTTCATTCTCCGCGAGCATCATCGAGGAGCATCGTGGATCATCTTGCGAAGCATACGCGCACGGAGCCGAAACATGCACGGGGATTGGATGTCCGAGCGATGGCGAGGCGCGCCTCCTCGGCGGTTCGCTGCGGGAGAGCAGCGCACCCCTTGCGACGGAAGACCCTGAGCAGCTTTGCACAGTCACGTGCAAGGTCGCGACGGGGTGCCGCGATGTGGAGATTGGAATGGAATAGGGATAGGGATAGTGGCAGGAACAGGGATCTGGGGCGATATATACAGGGGTAGGGATATAGGAAAGAGCGTGTTCTACCGCTGCTGGCGGAAAACCGGGGGGGGTCACTACCGGTTCGAACCCCTCCCCCCCCCCCCCCCAGCTCATCATGAAAAGGGGGGGGGGTCACTACCGGTTCGAACCCCCCCCCCCCCTCGAAAACCGAGTGGGGGTGCGGACAGTGGTGGGGACGGTGTTGGTGGGGACAGTGGTGAGGGGACAGCGGGACAGTGGTGGGGACAGTGGGACAGTGGGGTGGGGACGGTAGTGGTGGGGACAGTGGTGGGGACAATGGTGGGAACAGGGGGGACAGTGGACAGTGGTGGGAACGGTGGTGGTGGGGACAGTGGTGTGGGGACAGTGGGAATGAGGTGGAAACACTGGGACAGTGGAGGGTACAATGGTGGTGGTGTGGGCGTGGGGCGGCAGGTGGAAACACTGGGACAGTGGAGGGTACAATGGTGGTGACACTGGTAAAGGCGGTGGCGAGGACGGCGGTGGGACAATGGGACAGAGGTACAGTGGGGACAGTGGTGGGGACAGTGGGGACAGTGGTGGAAACAGTGGGACAGCTCAGTGGGACAGCGGAGGAGTCAGTGGGACAGTGGGGACAATGGGGATAGGCAGTGGTTGGGTCCGTGGAGACAGTGGGGAGAGTGGAACCGTGGTGGGAACAGTTGTGGGAACAGTGGGGACAGTGCGACAGTGGTGGGGGCATTGGTGGGGACAATAGGGACGGTGGTGGAACCAGTGGGGACAGTGGTGGTGAGGACAGTGGTGCTGGGAACAACAGTGGGGGATGTGATGCGGACGGCGGTGGGGGCCGGGAGTCGTTTGCTGGCGGTGACCGGTAGTGACCCCCCCCCGGTTTTTCGAGGGGGGGGGGGGGGGGGGGGGGGGGGGGGGGGGAGGGGTTAGGGGAGGGGGGGTTTTGGGGAGGGAGGGGGGAGGGGGGGGGGGGGGGAGGGGTTCCGCCAGGGGGGGGGGATTTTCGGAGGGGGGGGGGGGGGAGACCCCCGGGTTCCGGAGGAAAAGGTTGGCAATTTTCCACAGTAAAGCGGCGGTGGATCACGCTCTCTCGGATATAGGGATCGTTTTTTTTTGGATTGGGATATGCATGGGGATGGGGATGGGCACAGGGATATATGATAGGGGTAGAAATAGCACGGGTTAGGGATAGGAGCAGGGATGGAGACAGAGGGATAGGGATAATGATGGGGATAGAGATAGAGATAGGGATGGGGACAGACAATGGAAGGCACTGGGAGGCATAGAGAGACAACAGGGATCGGCCGAGTGATACAGAACTGGGTAGGGCTAAGGATGCGGATACGGGTAGGGATAGAGACCGGGAGATTACGGGAGACCGTGCGAGACCATGGAGGTCATTGGGAGACCACGGGGAACAGTCTGAGACAACGACGCCCGCCCGATTCCGCATCTCGCGGCGCACCTCTTGTTTTGTGTGTGTGTGTGTGTTACCGAGCATTTTTTAGGTTGAGGGCAAAGGGTGAAATCTGAAATGCCGTTTTTATGGATTTTCAAGGCTTGAATCTTCAAAAGGCGAATCACAAGACGGATTCATTTTCGAGGTGCCAAATCCATATGTATTCCACCTTCAGCCCTCCACCCTAAGAACATGCTCAGGCTTATCCGTGTAGATGTATGTACATTCCCCAGGCACTGTTTGCATGTAGGGGCTCGTGGTTGTCTCCTTTGGAACTGGGCCTGCTTGCCAGTTCCGCCGCCTTGTGGTTGTCCCCGTCGCCGTCTGTCGCCGCCCCTCGTCTGCCTAGCATCGATTGCACCACATAGACTGGGTAGCATCGATCGAGCCACGCAGCTGTTTCGACGTATGTGGTACCACATCGAGTGCTCAACCTAGCTTACACCACATAGCGCACACCACGTATACTGCACCACACAGTGTGCACCACACATGTTGCTCTGCAGTTTTTGTCCACGTATTTTGCACCACGCAGACTGGACCACATAGATTGCACCACATAGGCTACACCACGTATATTTCACCACATATATTGCGCCACATAGCGTCGTACACCACATCCAGTGCACCACATCTATTGCTTAACATGGGTTGCACCAATTCGCTTGCGCCATATAGATCGCAGCCCTACACTGCACCACACAGCTCACACCAACTGCCCAACAGTCGTGGTACCTCATACATTGTGTCGCATAGATCTCGCCACATTGCTTGCACTACATGAGTTGCACCCTATACATATACATGTATATATATATATATATATATATATATATATATATATATATATATATATCCATCGCACCACATATATTGCAGCACAGAGCGTACGCAACGTATACTTCACCGCATAGCTTGCACCACACATATTGCTTACCGTAGATTGCAACATATTGCTTGCATCACATCGCTTGCATCACATGTATTCCCCTTTTTATGAAATAGATTCTTCAGATGCCCCCTCGGGTGTTTCTTCCATCCCTGGGGTAGTACTTTTTTGATGTGATGTTTCTTCATCGTTCATCTCATATATGAGTTTTTACCAGCCCAGTCCAGCCTGCACCCCGCTCGTCCTCGTCAAAGGAGGCTCTGCGCGCACACTCGTCTATCCCAAACCATCAAATCCCAAGCATTCCTTGCACGGAGCGAGACCAAGTCGACAACGGCGCGTCGTCTCGCTCGCATGTCGAGCTTCTTCAAACATCTTGGGTTCCATACGGGTTCGAAGATCGAATCTCCTGAACATGCATTAAACCATGTAATGGTTTCGCAACGTGATTTTTCAAGACAACTCTGCGCTCGCTGACCACATGTTTTCTACAGATTCGTCACATGCGACCAAGCGGTCCTATCGCGCGCGCGTGTCAAAATCATTCGAACGCCTTTGCGCGCTTGCTTGGGGGACACGATCTCTGTTAAATAGCACCATGCCCGCGCGTGCATGCCGAAATCCGTCCAAAACTTTCATGACCGACATGTGGACACTATCTCCGTCATCGGCGTGATCAGCCATGGCGCTGTCATTGGCTTTGCCGTCGTTATCGCCATCGTCGCCATCATCGCTGCTATCAACATCGTGTCCGCCGTTGTCGGCGTTGCCGTGATACCGCACCCGCCTGAGCCACCGACTCGCACTGAAGTGCCCGCGAGCAAGCGCGGCTTGCGAGACGCGCTGGGAAGTCCCGGGTGGCCGCGTCGGTCGCGCCTGGTTTGCTGGCCGCTCTGTGCTGGCCGCTTCGCGCGCGAGCATGCGCCCGTTAGCGCGGCCGCAGTGATGCGCCAGCCAGCGCCAAGCAGTCATCGCAATCGCCGTTGCATGGTCTTACAAAACAACATGCGGGTAGGTGGTCCGGATGATTCCGCGAGCAGTGGAGTTGACACCCTAAATACGGCCACGATTGTATTGCACCACGCAGTGCGCCTCATCTTTTGTACCACATAATATTCCTGGAACATGCCACATTTTGTGTGCGCTTTGTCTAACGGACGATCCTTGTCCTTCACCATTTGAACGTATCACGATGAGGTTTCCAGAGGGGGGGTCAGGTCCACCATGACACCCGTCGGCGGCTGGAGGAACAAACCGACGCAATGGCAAAGGCTTGGTGGCAGGGTAGGGTGCCAGATATGACGCGAACGCCTTTGGTTTGCCCCCCACCTTCCCCTTCCGCTTTTCCGCTTTCTGGGCCTCCCCTCCCCTCCTCTTCCGCCTCCCGTCCTCCCCTCCCGCCCTCCTCTCCCTCCGCCGCCCTCCTTCCGCCTCCCCTCTCCTCCCCTCCCCCCTCCCGTGCCCCCATCCATCCATCCCCCCCCCCCGTTCCCCCACTCGCCGCCCACTCCCCCCCCTCCTGCCCTGTTCCCACTCCACCTTCCTTCCGCCTCCCCTCTCCCCCTCCCCTCCCCCCCCCTCCCCCATCAATTCCCCCCCCCCCCCCCACGCTCGCCGCCTGCTCCCCCCCCTTCTGGAGGAGCAGGGCGGTCAGGGATATCATGGGGGGACGGGGGTCGAGATGGCGACCCGTCTCCGCGGGCAGGCACCGGGACGCCGGCCTCTTCGCGGCCATCGCGGAGGGGAGGGGCTCGCCGTGGAAAGGCGACGGGTCCTGCGGGAGACGTTTTTTTTGGCGGCCGGCGGCGGTCTTCAGGGCGACTTGCAGTCGCTCTGGAGTCGGTGCTGGGGGCCCTCCTTGCGGGCAAGATCTGTAGCCATATCCGGTGAGTCGTGGACTTTCTTGGAGATCTCTATCCACATCCAGTGCGCGTCAGGGTCCTGGGAAGGGAGCCCGACACTTCAAGCTGCAGTGGATATGGACGAAAGCATTGCCCGCACTCCTGGCTGGTCGCCGTGAAGGCAAAGGAGTCCTGAGGGACACGGGCCCCGAGGTTTTTCGCTGGTATGTGCCTCCCGGGGCCTGCAACGGGCCCCAGGACCGTCAGGAGACGGCTCAGGATGAAGTTTTTCGGGCCTGGGGGGCGACCCCGGGGTCCAGCACCCGTTTTCCTTTGCTTCGTGCTTGTGGGAGGGGCGCGGCCGAGCTCTCATGTTGGAGAGGGACCGAGGGGAGGTCGGGGGCGGCAAAGAGGGGGGTGATGACTAGGGGGGGGTGGATATCATGGCGGGGGCCATGATGTTTCCCAGATCTCATGGCGCCTCTGCTTATTTCATTACGTCCCTGGCCCCCCCGCTGGGCCGCGCACATGCCGCCGGTCATGATTTGCACCCCCCCCTCTTGGACGCCCCCCTCTTTGCCGCTCCCGAGGGGAGGGAGGGGCGGTGCTGCGGCGAGGGGGGCGGGGAGGGGCGAGCTCAGCGGGGAGGACGGAGGCCTGCCCTGGATGCCGGCTTTGCCCGTCCCCCGTTTCGCCGCGGGCTCCTGTCCATGTCCATCGCTGCTCCTCGGAGTCGCTGTGCCCACGAGGCGCGGCTTGCAGTCAGCAGGAGTCGTATTCAGGAATAGTGTAGAAGTCGTATGGTGGCGATTTTTCGTGCTCGTTTGAATGATGATGATGATGTGTGTGTGTTTTTTCCCAGACTCGGCTGTAGGAGGACATGCCCGACTCGAGACTCGCATCGGTCGTCGAAGGCGTGCCACGTGATGTGTTAGCCTAGAGTCGAGTGCTCAGCTGGGCGAGACAGGCGAAGCGGATGGGCGTGGGCAGGAGTGCACCATGCGATCCGTTGGCGAGTTCGTGGCCCACGACGTGTGCGCCATCTCCTGGGGCTTCGCAGCTGCTGGTGTCGCCGACAGGCCTCGCCTGGTCAGCTGGGGACAGCTTCGGGGGATCTGATTCGTCTCAAGTGAACGTCTTGGTCCCCATATGTCGCTGTCGGGATGAATGCAACCTTCAGCTCCAGGTTCACTTCTGGCAGGGTGGGCGGAGGTAGATCGGAGGAGCAGGTTGAGGAAGGACGTCGACGTCGACGTCGACGAGAATCAAAAAGAGCCCGAGTTTGTTCCCCCTGGTCCATGTCCAGAAGGAGAATGGCGTGATGAAGAACACGAGCAGAAAGAATACGAGGGGCAGGCATGTTGAAGAGAGATGCCCTGTGCACCGGCGCGGTGGGGAGCCTCCGAAGCCAGGCGATTATTCGAGGCCCTCGCCGAGCACGCCCTGAGCAAGGGGCTGCCGGGTGCCCAAATCGGCAGCGGCAGTCTGCGAGACCCGTCCTAGTTGTTGTTGTTTCTGGTAATCGTCTGTCGTGGATCTGCAGTAGTGCTGTCTTTGACATGAGTAAAGGCCGTGTCGTGAAGTAGGAGGTACAAGCAATAGCAAGCGAGTAGTTTGCTGCCACATACAAGCCTTTCGTCTGACAGTATTCTCCAGCGTCGTAGTAATGCGCAGGTCGCAGTAATACGTACGTGTGTGGTAGCTGTGATGCAGGCGTTGAAGCGGCGCATTGATTGTCGTTGGTGTTGTAATTGGCAGTCGCATTGGTAGTGGCAGCGTGAGTTTTATTGGTAGCAGCAGTCTCAATGTGAGTGTGTGCGTATGTGTGTCAGCAATACCAGAATTATTTCACTAATGCTAGTAACAGCTTTGTTGCTACTTAGCAACGTGTTTGCGTTGTATAGTTTTGTTTGGGCCGTTACGACGCATATTTGTTGCGTATTTGTGAGTCTGCCATGTGTTGTAGATTATCTATAGTGTTGCTTCATCGTCAGTCTTGTTCGCAGGTACTTGGTCAGATCAAGGATGAGAACAAGAGGGAGGACGAGTAGCAACAGTTGGAGGTAACGGCTCCAAATGCCATTGAAACATGAACAGCAGCAACAAGTTCTAATTGAAGAGTGTAATTGCCTCACATAAAGCAAACCACAATCATTTTCAGCTTAGTCGGATTGGATTTCGTCGGCATGGGTTCCAACATCCAATGAAAGCATATCCATGGTAAAGTGTGACCTTTTGAGGATCTCGATGAAAATCCACAAACAGTTTTGCAACTTAGTCGACCTAGGGTGGCCAGCCAGACCTGATCGGTTGAGCCTCGGGGTCACCGTTCGTGACCAATCGCAGATTTGAATAGGTTTCAACTTGTACATGATTTTTGCCAACTGCTTAGGGTGTCCAGTCCTACGAGATCCAAGCCGACTTACACAGCATATTTCTTTGTGTGTCGAATCCTTTGGAGTTCGAACTTGAGTTTCTGAGACGCTCTCTCCTCAAATTCAATCGGGCATTTTTCGGACACCTCATCCTCCTGCGTCTCATCGTTGTCCTCATGATCGACAGGACATCTGGGAACTCCAGGGGGGGGTTGCAGGGAGGGGCGCAAAAGGAGCCTTCTTGGGGGCCGTTGGGGGTGGGGAGGGAGGCGACCTCCTCACAGAGGAGGATATGGATGCATCGACACTAGAGACACACCAGCGCCTCAGACAGTGAGTGCAGCGTCCTCGGCCGGGGCTTGGACCCGGCGCCCGATACGCCCTCCAGAAGTGCTGGGCGACTGATGCCGGTGATTTCCGATCTGTCCTGTTTCGATTTTCTCCTGGCCCTGGTTTCGCCTTCCTTACAAATTCGCAGGGCTAGACCTAAACGCTGTTTTGCTGGACTCGGGCTGTGTTTTTTTGGTTTTTCGTTTTCGCGGGGAGGTACAGGTGAACATGTAGAGCAAAACGAAACACAGAATGAAAACAAAACGGAACACAACGTTTAGGTCCAGGCCTGCAGATGCGGGCACGGATGCGTCAGCACCTCTGGCGCCCCAGCGCCTCAGACAATGCAGCAGTGTCAGGGCTCACGGCCTGGATGCCTCACGCGGAGGGCTGCGGGCGCGAGATGCACGCGCCCTGCCTCTCGTATATTCACTCGTGCGGGCACCGCCACCTCACGCATGCACAAGCACACCACACACAGAGACTCGGACAGACAGAGGCAGACAGACAGACATACACAAAACACAACACCACACAAGACACCACGACATAATACCACACACACACGACACAGACAAAGCACACAACACACCCACAACGCACACAATGCACACACGTTTTTTTTTGCGTCGGCGGCTAGGCAGAGTCACTGCGCTGGCGAACGGAACAAAGCACACACTCAAACATCCAAACTCAAGCTCCCAAGGGTGCATATGTGGATCCTTCTAAATCGGCGAGGCTTACCAAGCGCGCTATAGGCTATACGCTTTCAAAGGGTACCGTAACCATCTCTAGGGATGAGCCAGTGATCGGCGAAGCTTTCGGAAATCCGTGCTGTCAGAAGGCCAGTAGCTTTACGACCACGGACCAACATCCTTTTGTGAATGGGATGGCCGAAACCTACTGCCAGTGGCCCTGGTGGAGCTAGTCCATAGGTGATGCAACTGGCCGTGATGGAACAAAAGGAGGACGGAGGGGGCATGACGAGGAGTAGGGTAGGAAAGAGAAAGGAAAGGGGCAGGATGAGCAGGAGGAGGAGGATAGGGTATCGACGAACGACGACAGTGACGACAGCAACGACGTCGAGACGTCGACAACGCCGACAATGTCCACGAACACGACTCCGATACGAAAGCAATGACGACAATAAAGACGACGACGGCAAGAACGGTGGCGACAACACAGCGGCGGCGACGCCGCCGACGGCAACGATTTCGTGTACGTCTACGACTGCGATGACGATGACGACGACCATCGAGACGACGATGACACACACGACGACCACGAAAATGGCAGCGACGACGAAGGACAGGTCCCGACGGGGCACCAGAGCCCCGAAACGGATGAAACCAGGGGCTGTGGCCAGGTCATCTCCAGAGTTGACCTGTTCGCAGCCTAGGCTCGAGTGCCGGCTCCGAAGCTTTTTGCTTCAGGAGCCCTCTCCCCAGCTGCACGCGACAGTGACCTTTCTCTGGAGTGGCTCTTGGAGCGCGGCCTTCCAGGGCGCGCCCGGGGGTGCCGAGTGCAGGCACGAGAGCCGCTGCTGTTGCACTGCACGCGGCGACTGGCAGGCCACGCACCAGAGGGCACTCTTGCGTGTACGGTATGCTCGTGTCGTGCAGACTCGGTGACAGCTGCGCCGCGGGCGTTCAAGGTCGAATCGCCACCAGCGGCCTGCCTTCGCCCCGCAGGGAACGGAGTGCAGCGCTTCTCGGAGGGCCGCGGTCGTTCGAGGCCGAAGGCTCCACGCGGTGCCACAGACCGTCGCCGAGGCCGTCGCGGCACGGACCTGCCGCAGGCGACTCCCAGATGCCAGCACGCGCGCGCGCCACCAGCTGCTGCCGCGCTGCACGCGACGAGGGGCCAGGGGGGGCGTATGCCGTATGCACCGCTCCTGCGCCGCTCAGATCTTACCAGTTTGAAGCATATCCCTATCCCTGTGGTTGACATCATGTCACCTCGATGCCGATCTTAAGGATTCCCTCAGTTTCTGAGGGCAAATCCCTAAGATTAGCCTCGCTTTTTGCTCGCCCATCTTAGGGATAGGGATCAGTTCGAGGCTGGTTAAGATCTCGTCGCCCTGAACATGATGCACGAGCACGGCGCGCCCGCGCTCAGAGGGAGGGCGGAGGGAGGCGGACTGGCTGTGGGTATGGGTGCACGCCCGCGCTCAGAGGGAGGGCGGAGGGAGGCGGACTGGCTGTGGGTATGGGTGCACGCCCGCGCTCATGGGGAGGGCGGAGGGAGGCGGCCTGGCTGTGGGTAATTAGGGGTGCGGGCTCGCGGACCCCCTCTGGGAAGGCTCCCCGTCGAGCGGGGGCCCCCGTCCCACGACGCGCACCCGCAGCGCCGTGCGTCCCCCCTTGTGGGTATGGGCGTGTGCGTGTGTGTGCGTGTGTGTGTGTGTGTGTGTGTGTGTGTGTGTCCCCGTCCGCCAGCGCAGTCGCTCTGTCTAGCCGCCGACGTAATATATATATATATATATATATATATATGTGTGTGTGTGTGTGTGTGTGTGTGTGTGTGTGTGTGTGTGTGTGTGTGCGTGCTGTTCGTTCGTCATGCAAGGTCGCCCTGTCCTAAGGGCCCAGGGCCACACCCCCGCGTGTGGAGGACTCTCGAGTCCGCCGCTCCTCCCGACGCCCCAGGCTGGTCCGGCGGCTGTCGCCGCCGCTGGCCGCCGAGCTCGCGCCTGCGCCTCGGAAGGAGCCGGCTGGGCCGACGATGCTAGTTGCGTCGATTGTGTGACGATGTTGATTGCCCATCGGTCGTTGAAAGTGTGTCACCCCTAATGGTCTTTTGCTTGGAATAATGGTTATTTCCCGCAATTGAAGGACCCCAGTTCTTCAATAAGGTCGCCGAGCAAACAGTGAGTTACCCCCCCTTGAGGGGGGTATGTAAAGACCGTCATGGGTTGTCTCATGGCCTTCGGGCCATCCCGCCACTGTACCTGGGATGTGGGTCTGATGCCTCTCGGATGTTCGTTGGGATCTCCCGCATCTCCTCCCATGACACATGGCACGCCCCAAGCCGAAGAGAGCGCTACATGTAGCCGCTCACATGAACGGCACGTCGCTTCCGACATTTGGGGCTCAGCGTCGGAGTCTTTTCGGGGCGCCCTGCGGTTGGCCTTTTTGGTGAATCCCGGGGGAAGCCTCCAAGGGCTTGGATTCTTTGTAGCCTCCGAGAGCCTTCAGAGGCTGGGGACCTCTGAAGACCCCTTGGGTCGTCTTGGGCGCCTCTTGGACCGTCTTGGGGCCCTCTTGGGAGCCTCTGGGGACGTCTTGGGGCGGTCTTGGGTGCCTCTTGAGACGTTTTGGAGCGTCTGAAGCTCGAGACGTGGAGAACCCGCAAACCATTGAAGCACCGATGGAACGTCAATCATTTTGGCCTCTAGGGGCACTCCTCGGAGGGTCCTTGGGGCTCTTTCTCGGGGCGTCTCGAAGCCGTCTTTGGGGCCATTCGGGCGTCGTGGACCGATCGTGCGGCGATTCGGGGCACCTTGGGGCCATCTGGGCGGGCTCTTAGGGGCCCTCGTGGCCCGTCTTGGGGCCCTCCTGGTCCAGAAGACGCCCCGCGGGACCGCTCGAGTGAGCCCCGAGGGCGCGCGGGACGCCCCAGTAGACTTGAGTTGGGCCTGTCCCCCTACAGGGGGATTTTCGACGAAAAAGAAAAATACCCCCAACATGCACCAAAAAGGTCAAACAATACTCAAACAATAGTCCCCAGACTATTTTTGGATTATTTGTTGATTAATCCCTTATTTGGGGTATTTTTTTATTGATTAATCCCGTATTTTTATGGATTAATCCCGTAATTGTTGATTAATCCCGTATTAATTCCGTATTTGTTGATTATTTGTTTGGGGTATTTTTTCAACTTTCGTCGAACATCCCCCCTGTAGGGGCACACGCCCGATTCAACAGTAGACTTGAGAGTTTTCGGGTCCACTTCGTGCCACGGGGGCACGAGGTGGCGGATGTTCGGGTTTCATGGGCGCCTTCCCATGTCGAGGGGGCCAGGGGTTTTCCCTCCTCAGCGTCCTCAAGGGGTGGGCGGAGATCCCATCTGCTTCAACGCCTTCCCACTTCACGTTTCTGTCGGGGGCGGAAAAGAGGGGGTGATGACTAGGGGGGGGGTGGATATCATGGCGGGGGCCATGGTTTTTCCCCAGATCTCATGGCGCCTCATGACGTCCCTGGCCCCCCAGCTGGGCCGCGCACATGCCGCCGGTCATGATTTGCACCCCCCTTCTCTTGCCCCTCTTGGCCGCTCCCGATTCTGCCCACAGACATCTGGCTTCCATTTGCATCACGGGAGGATCGGGTCGACGATGGAGGGGAGGGCCTTCCTGCAAGGACTGCTCGAGCGTGAGCGTGTTAGGCGTAGATGCCTTGAGATCGCCATGCTAAGCACTCAGGAGGTGGAGGGATGGTGTCACGCTGGACTTAGGTGCAACTGAATTCTCATAGAGGGCTAAAGCGTTTGTGGGGCCACTTTTTCTTCTCAGACGTTAGCAGCGGGCATCATGCGTGCACTCACGCAGGCACGTTCGGCAAGACGTCACGCATCTTGAAGTACGTGATCACAAACCTTCGCTACGCGACGGCCAGGAACTCGAATATGCGTGCTGCTCGTCGTGTTGGTACATGCAATTCTACTTCCGCGCGTGCTACGCACACTACCACCACAGTTCCTCCAACTTGCCCCCTTATGCGACATGCCATCGCGGTCTAATGTGGCTCAGCTGCCAAAGAGTATCTGAGACGAACGCTTCAAGGCGCCCGGCCCCTATCAGCCGACAAGGATGTGATTGACAGCGCGCCCGAAACTGTGACCGAAAATGCAGTGTGACCGAAGTTGTGACCGAGATTGAAAGTCGTTCGGGAAAGATTTGGCGCAGGTTTCGGTCACACTCGGGCGGATTTTCGGGTACAGTTTCGGTTACTGCGCGCCCCAGGGACAAACGGGGCTGCACGGACTTACCGTGTCCACCTTCTGGCCGCGATGGCGGACCGACCCGTCTTGGGCCATGAAGCGCAAACCGGACCACTGCTCGGCCGACGTTGTGCGCAGACAGCACCATAGTTTACCACAGATCCTTGCACGGTGCCGAGGCAAGAGCACCACTGAGCCCGTCCGCGCGCAGGCACGCTCTCCGACAGGGGCGGCACGGGCAACACGGGGCGGCGACGGCCTGCAGTGAGGGTGTCGCTCCTGGGGTGCCAAACTCGGCATCGGCGCTGGTGCATCCGTGTGATTTGGGCAGGCCCAGCTCTCAGGCAGCATCCCGATACGTCCCCTGTCCCCGTTCCGGGGCCCTGCCCCCCCTCTCTACGGCTGCCGCCGCATGTCGGGGGCGGAAAAGAGGGGGGTGATGACTAGGGGGGGGGGATATCATGGCGGGGGCCATGATATTTCTCCAGATTTCATGGCGCCTCTTCTTATTTCATTGCGTCCCTGGCCCCCCCGCTGGGCCGCGCACATGCCGCCGGTCATGATTTGCACCCCCCCCTCTTGGACACCCCCCTCTTGGCCGCTCCCGAGCATGCAGTGGTCGATACTACGCAGAAGCTCGTCGACTTTACAGCTCGACGGCCGTCTTGTTTTTCTCTGTCTCGCGCTGTAGCGCAGCGCCGCTGTCGTGTTTTACAGTGTAGGTCGAGGTTATCTGATGCTTTGCGGTGGAAAAAAATCAAGCCCGCCGATTCTGAGAGACTCGCTCTGCCTCGCTCCGATCTCGCCTCGATCCTGCCCTCGCCTCCCCTCGCCTCCCTCGGCGCGCCGCCCTGCCGAGGTGGGGCTTCGCCGCCGCCGGCGTGCGCCACGCGCCGCTCTTCGCCGAGCTGGAGAGCCTCTGCCTCTCGCACGCCGAGGAGATGGAGACCGAGGACGGCCGCCCGCACGCGGCCGGGCCCGGGCACGGCCGCGAGGCTCGCTGCGATGCCTCCGGTTCGGGTCGATGCGATTTTTCGGTGGCGTCCGGTGCCGATGCGCTTCGGCTCGGCCATGCCGCTGCGGGCTCCGATGGCTCCACGGAGGCCTGCCGGCCTGCCGATCTCTGCCGATGCGACCTTTCCCGACTCGGCTGCCGGCGTCCGCCGATGCGATGGATTTCGATCGCCGATATCCGACTGATCGATTCGATTCCGGGCTCTCCTGCGGAGCACAGCCGAGGCGCCGAGGTACGCGCATGTCTTCCGGGCCTCCCGGGTGGGTGTCCGAGGAGTGGCGTGTCCGAGCAGCGGCCTCCCACATCGAGGCCTCCCAGATCGAGGTCCGAGGATCGAGGTGCTCCGACATCTTCGCGCCCAGAGAGCCAGCGTTTTGGAAAAATCAAAGTCGTTTTTTTTTTTTTTTTGTTCTCTCTAAATTTCCAAATTTTAGTTCCCAGGGGCCCTCGCCGGGCCTCGGGACCGTTAAAAAACGACTCAGGATGAAAGACCGGTCCTGGGGCATGCATGGGTCAAGACTTCTGGGGACCGCGCATTGAAAAAATCACGACATCGGATCTCTGGGTGGGTGTTCGGCGGTCTCCCAGCCTCGGGGTGCGTTCTAACAGCCGCGCCTCGCCGAGAGCGTTCTGGGGGTGCTTGGATCGTCCCGAACGGCCTCTGGAGACCAGAGGTATGGCCCAAAAACGCAAACACCAACCAAATGGGATCCGAGTAGATGTGCCGGAGGATGGCGCCGCAGCGCAGCGATGCGGCTCGGTATAGTTCCCGTTTGTCTCCGCGCCAGCGTCGCCGATGCATCGCCGGAGTCGCCGATGTATCCTCGATATATCGCAAATCATCGGCGATGTGGCGCGATCCTTCGACCCGATCTACTCGCACCCCATCTAGGATCGGCGGCGAGCGACGGGGGGGGGAGTGAGAAGGAGGAGGCCTTGTCAGAAGGCGGCGGGACTTCTCAGAAGCCCTCGCGCCTTCTGAGAGGCTGTCTGTGCATGTTCGGGGAAGGCTCCCAAAGCTTCGTTAACAAAAAGGCTGCGGGACCTCCGAGCCTTCTCCCAGAAGGCCTCCTCCTCCTCCTCACTGCCCCCCCCGGGCTCGCCGCCGCGGCGAGGCCGTGCAGACTCCACTCCTGCCCGCCTGTCGCCCGCCCTCCGCCCGCGGCGCCTCCCCCCGCCCCGCCTCACGCCGCCCTCCGCCCGCCTCCGCCGGCCTGCCCGCGGAGGAGCAGGCGCCAGCCCCCCGGTTCCTATCGGGGGAGGGGGGGGGCTCGGGTGCTGCAGAGGTGCCCCCCCCCCCGGCCCCAGGTGCGCTGGCAGGATGCCCGAGGAGGCCCCCATGGGCCCCCAGAGCACCCCCCTGTTGCGAGGCCCGGAGCGCCCCCCTGGGCTCCCAGATGCAGCGAGAAGAGGTGGGAGGGGCACCTCGGGCCGGGGGCGCCTCTCTAGCAGCCCCCGAGGGGGAGGCCCTCCCGTGTGGCGCCCCCTGCCGCCATCGTGCTGGCCACCAGGAGCGCGGAATGTGAGGCGCGGGCGGGCTTTGTTCCGGCCTCGGCCACGAAGGGCCCCCCCCCGCCCTGGGACGTGACGCTGCGGTTGGTCGGCACTGGGACAGGTCATCAAAGCCCTGCCGGGCAGCCTGGTGGCAGCCTCTCACGGCGTGCCGGGATGCGCGGCGGCGGGCCATCGTTGCAGTGCCCGCTGGCAGTGCCACTGTCATTCTCAGCTTCGGCCATGTGGTCATAGTACCCACCAGCGCACGGCCGATGCCACCGTCGCAGTCTTTGCCGTCGTCACGGCCACCTGCGCCATCACCGCACTGCTTCACACGCCTCCTTGCGGCTGAATGTTTGTCCATCTGCGCTTCCCTTCTACAATTGCGATGGCCTTGTGCTGGCTCCACCTCAAGCCTCTCCTCATTGTGCTCCTCGTTCTCGCCCTGCATCTCTTCGTTGTCGTCCTCGCCATTCCTTGCTCCTCGTCGTCCTCCTGCTGCTCATCCTTCCCCAGCCTCCCTCCTCCCCCTCCCACCACTTCTCCTCCCGTCTCCGTCGCTGCCGTCACCACCACCGCGGCCGCCGCCGCCGCCGCCGTCGTCCGTCGTCCTCGTCGGCGGCGTCCTCGTCGGTGTCGTCGTCCTCGTCGGTGTCGTCGTCCTTGTTGGTGTCGTCGTCGGCGTCGTCCGTCGTCGTCCTGTCGTCCTCCACCGCGCGTCGGGGCCGCAGGACGCCGCCGTCTTCGCCTGGGCCTTCACCGCGGCCGGGATGTCCGACTCGAGGGTGCTGCCGCCGCTCAATACGGCAGGGTTGGGGACAAGTGCTAGCAGCAGATGTTGACCCGTTCGAGCAGGATTCGCCGACGGGGTCGCTGCGGGCTGTGCCCCACTGGAGACACACGATTGCCTGCCCAGCAGCGGCCGCGGTCGGTCTTGGAACACGTTTGAGGTTTGGCAGTGTATTTGTTCTCTTGTACTCAATCCCGGCGCCGCGCCCAGGGCGAGGTCGGAGAGGGTTCCTGAGTAATGCGAGAAGGCCCAGGTGTCTTAGATGTAGTCGTCGTCGTCGTAGTAGTCGTAGTCGTAGTCGTAGTAGCTAGTAGTCGTAGTAGAAGCAGCTAGTAGCAGCTAGTAGCAGCTAGTAGCAGCTAGTAGCAGAGTAGTAGTAGTAGTAGTAGTAGTAGTAGTAGTAGTAGTAGTAGTAGTAGTAGGAGTAGGAGTAGGAGTAGGAGTAGTAGTAGTAGTAGTAGTAGTAGTAGTAGTAGTAGTAGTAGCAGTAGCAGTAGCAGTAGCAGTAGCAGTAGCAGTAGCAGTAGCAGTAGCAGTAGCAGTAGCAGTAGCAGTAGCAGTA